ATAGATTTAGGCAGTGAGATAACCATCATTGTCATGCTGTAGGTAAATTTGATAGATTTATGTACATATGTAGTGAGGTGACCATTTTGTCATGCTGTAGGTAAATAGTACAGAGTTATGTAGTTATATTGCCATAATTGTCATGCTGTAGATAAATATTATAGAGTTAGGTAGAGATGTAACCATTATTGTCATACTGTAGGTAAATTTGATAGATTTAGGTGAGGTGACCATTTTTGTCATGCTGTAGGTAAATTTTATAGCGTTAGGTAGTGAGGTGACCATTATTGTCATGCTGTAGGTAAATAGCTTAGAGTTAGGTAGTTAGATTGCCATTATTTTCATGCTGTAGTTAAAGGTTTTAGCGTAAGGTAGCGAGGTGACCATTATTGTCATGCTGTAGGTACATTTTAAAGCGTTAAGTAGTGAGGTGACCATTATTGTCATGCTGTAGGTATATAGCTTCGAGTTAGGTAGTTAGATTGCCATTATTTTCATGCTGTAGTTAAAGGTTTTAGCGTAAGGTAGCGAGGTGACCATTATTGTCATGCTGTAGGTACATTTTTTAGCGTTAGGTAGTGTGGTGACCATTATTGTCATGCTGTATATATATTTGATAGCGTTTGGTAGTGTCGTGACCATTATTGTCATGCTGTAGGTACATTTTATAGTGTTAGGTAGTGCCGTGACCATTATTGTCATGCTGTAGGTACATTTTATAGTGTTAGGTAGTGCCGTGACCATTATTGTCATGCTGTAGGTACATTTGATAGCGTTAGATAGTGATGTGACCATTATTGTCATGCTGTAGGTATATTTGATAGCGTTAGGTAGTGACGTGACCATTATTGTCAAGCTGTAGATTCATTTTATAGCGTTAAGTAGTGAGGTGACCATTATTGTCATGCTGGAGGTCCATTTTATAGCATTAGGTAGTGAGGTGACCATTATTGTCATGCTGTAGGAAAATAGCTTAGAGTTAGGTAGTTAGATTGCCATTATTGTCATGCTGTAGGTACATTTTATAGCTTTAGGTAGTGAGGTGACAATTATTGGCATGCTGTAGGTACATTTTATAGCGTTAGGTAGTAAGGTGACCATTATTGTCATGCTGTAGGTACATTTTATAGCCTTAGGTAGTGAGGTGACCATTATTGTCATGCTGTCGGTAAATGGTATAGTGTTAGGTAGAGATGTGACCATAATTGTCATGCTGTAGGTAAAGGTTATAGATTTAGGTAGTGAGCTGACCATTATTGTCATGCTGTAGGTAAATATTATAGAGTTAAGTAGAGATGTAACCATTATTGTAGTGTGGTGACCATTATTGTCATGCTGTATATATATTTGATAGCGGTTGGTAGTGTCGTGACCATTATTGTCATGCTGTAGGTACATTTTTATAGCGTTAGGTAGTGAGGTGACCATTATTGTCATGTTGTAGGTATATTTGATAGCGTTAGGTAGTGACGTGACCATTATTGTCATGCTGTAGGTAAAGGTTATAGCGTTAGGTAGTGACGTGACCATTATTGTCATGCTGTAGATACATTTTATAGCGTTAGGTAGTGACGTGACCATTATTGTAATGCTGTAGGTACATTTTATAGCGTAAGGTAGTGACGTGACCATTATTGTCATGCTGTAGATACATTTTATAGCGTTAGGTAGTGACGGGACCATTATTGTCATGCTGTAGGTACATTTTATAGTGTTAGGTAGTGCCGTGACCATTATTGTCATGCTGTAGGTACATTTTTATAGCGTTAGGTAGTGAGGTGACCATTATTGTCATGTTGTAGGTATATTTGATAGCGTTAGGTAGTGACGTGACCATTATTGTCAAGCTGTAGATTCATTTTATAGCGTTAAGTAGTGAGGTGACCATTATTGTCATGCTGTAGATACATTTTATAGCGTTAATTAGTGACGTGACCATTATTGTCATGCTGTAGGTACATTTGATAGCGTTAGGTAGTGAGGTGACCATTATTAGCATGCTGTAGGTACATTTTATAGCGTTAGGTAGTGAGGTGACCATTACAGTATGCTGTAGGTATATTTTATAGCGTTAGGTAGTGACGTGACCGTTATTGTCATGCTGTAGGTACATTTTATAGTGTTAGGTAGTGCCGTGACCATTATTGTCATGCTGTAGGTACATTTTATAGCTTTAGGTAGTGAGGTGACAATTATTGGCATGCTGTAGGTACATTTTATAGCGTTAGGTAGTGAGGTGACCATTGTTGTCATGCTGTAGGTACATTTTATAGCGTTAAGTAGTGAGGTGACCATTATTGTCATGCTGGAGGTCCATTTTATAGCATTAGGTAGTGAGGTGACCATTATTGTCATGCTGTAGGAAAATAGCTTAGAGTTAGGTAGTTAGATTGCCATTATTGTCATGCTGTAGTTAAAGGTTATAGCGTAAGGTAGCGAGGTGACCATTATTGTCATGCTGTAGGTACATTTTATAGTGTAAGGTTACGAGGTGACCATTATTGTCATGCTGTAGGTAAATTTGATGGAATTAGGTGAGGTGACCATTTTTGTCATGCTGTAGGTAAATTTTATAGCGTTAGGTAGTGAGGCCATTATTGTCATGCTGTAGGTAAATTTGATAGCGTTAGGTAGTGACGTGACCATTATTGTCATGCTGTAGGTACATTTTTATAGCGTTAGGTAGTGAGGTGACCATTATTGTCATGTTGTAGGTATATTTGATAGCGTTAGGTAGTGACGTGACCATTATTGTCATGCTGTAGGTAAAGGTTATAGCGTTAGGTAGTGACGTGACCATTATTGTCAAGCTGTAGATTCATTTTATAGCGTTAAGTAGTGAGGTGACCATTATTGTCATGCTGTAGATACATTTTATAGCGTTAATTAGTGACGTGACCATTATTGTCATGCTGTAGGTACATTTGATAGCGTTAGATAGTGATGTGACCATTATTGTCATGCTGTAGGTATATTTGATAGCGTTAGGTAGTAAGGTGACCATTATTGTCATGCTGTAGATACATTTTATAGCGTTAGGTAGTGACGGGACCATTATTGTCATGCTGTAGGTACATTTTTATAGCGTTAGGTAGTGAGGTGACCATTATTGTCATGTTGTAGGTATATTTGATAGCGTTAGGTAGTGACGTGACCATTATTGTCATGCTGTAGATACATTTTATAGCGTTAGGTAGTGAGGTGACCATTACAGTATGCTGTAGGTATATTTTATAGCGTTAGGTAGTGACGTGACCGTTATTGTCATGCTGTAGGTACATTTTATAGTGTTAGGTAGTGACGTGACCATTATTGTCATGCTGTAGATACATTTTATAGCGTTAGGTAGTGAGGTGACCATTGTTGTCATGCTGTAGGTACATTTTATAGCGTTAAGTAGTGACGTGACCATTATTGTCATGCTGTAGGTACATTTTATAGCCTTAGGTAGTGAGGTGACCATTATTGTCATGCTGTAGATACATTTTATAGCGTTAATTAGTGACGTGACCATTATTGTCATGCTGTAGGTAAAGGTTATAGGTAGGTAAATTTGATAGCGTTAGGTAGTGAGGTGACTATTATTGTCATGCTGTAGGTACATTTTATAGCGTTAGGTAGTGAGGTGACCATTACAGTATGCTGTAGGTATATTTTATAGCGTTAGGTAGTGACGTGACCATTATTGTCATGCTGTAGGTAAATGGTATAGTGTTAGGTAGAGATGTGACCATAATTGTCATGCTGTAGGTAAAGGTCATAGATTTAGGTAGTGAGCTGACCATTATTGTCATGCTGTAGGTAAATATTATAGAGTTAATTAGAGATGTAACCATTATTGTCATGCTGTAGGTATATTTGATAGCGTTAGGTAGTGACGTGACCATTATTATCATACTGTAGGTACATTTTATAGTGCTAGGTAGTGACGTGACCATTATTGACATCCTGTCGGTAAATTTTATAGCGTTAGGTAGTGAGGTGACCATTATTGTCATGCTGTAGGTAAATGGTATAGTGTTAGGTAGTGAGGTTACCATTATTGTCATGATGTAGATACATTTTATAGCGTTAGGTAGTGAGGTGACCATTATTGTCATGCTGTAGGTAACTTTGATAGCGTTAGGTAGTGAGGTGACTATTATTGTCATGCTGTAGGTACATTTTATAGCGTTAGATAGTGAGGTGACCATTATTGTCATGCTGTAGATAAATCTTATAGAATTAGGTAGTGACGTGACCATAATTGTCATGCTGTAGGTAAATATGATAGATTTAGGAAGTGATGTGACCATTATTGTCATGCTGTAGGTACATTTTATAGCGTTAGGTAGTGATGTGACCATTATTGACATGCTATAGGTACATTTTATAGCGTTAGGTAGTGACGTGACCATAATTGTCATGCTGTAGATAAATTTGATAGATTAAGGTAGTGAGGTGGCGATGATAAAATATCATGATAAAATGATGATAAACGATTATTATATATGAATTTGATGTTGGAGTATAAGGATAGTATATCACTTGATGAGTAGCCTATGTATGCATTTTTTTTTTTTGGGATAGAATCATATGGGTTAGTAATTGTGCACTGTTCCTCCCAATAGGTTACAAATGTACATGTAAATTGTAATTTGCATTGCCCGAGATCAGGTATTTCTCAACCTTTAATAATGATAACGACAATAATGTTTTCAGGATACCTGAAACTATGTAAAACTTTTATTTGTTTTGATGATTTTTTTTTCTTCATGTTTTTTTGCAAAGTGTGAATGTGTTAGAGAAAAACAGGAGTATGTTTACTGACCAGGGGGCAATGGCATATCAAATAGAATCAAGACATTTTGTTGTCGATATGGCGGACAATGAATGTGTCGCTTGTTAGCCTATCATCAGAATATATTCTTGAACATCCGATATTTTGACAAATCTATTTGTTTACACATACAAAGTTCGTAAATGATAGATTGCATGGTTTGAATAACAATAAAATACAATTCAAATTCAACGTTTTATTAGATTCGTTCTGATGATAGAGAGAACATGTTTATCCTATCACCCCATTTGTCACGTCTGTGGCTCTGAAAGGAAGCAGACAAAGTTTATACAAAAGATATTATAAATATAACGTATCTCAAAACAATTCAAACGAACGACACACCCTTTTAACTTTGGGTTATTTACAGACTGTACAATCAGACATCAGCAAACAATCATATAAATACGATGATTTTCCTGAACGCGTCTCTAACTGATGTTTTTACACGTGAGAAAGGGAAAACGTCTTTAAATGATGTTTTTACACGTGAAAAAGGGGAAACGTCTTTAAATGATGTTTTTACACGTGAAAAAGGGAAAACGTCTTTCAGAAAAAGGATTTCGGAACATGATTGTAATTGTTATTCAGTTCAAGTTTCACTTGGTATACATTTGCTTGAAGGGATGATATTACTTTTCAAATAAACTTAAGCTGACAAGCTCAGAATATTGACAACAAGATATTGTTAAAGCTCGTTATGTACTGTATGAACAAAACGTATTCAGATCCATTGAGATATATATATAAATGTAAATTCATCCACAAATAAATAAATATTTCCATACCTTTAAATGTACTTTCTTTACATATCTACAGGTAATTAAATCTTCACTTACCTTTTAATAAATTATCTTTCCATATCCATAGAAAATAAGACTCTATTTTTCCAGTGATGTAATTCGTTATGGATCAATATTTATAAATCCAAATATCGTGAAAAATCACACATTCTTAGATAAGTTATCTTTTTTTTCTTATGTTAATATAGAAGGCAGTGTATCCAGTGTTGTATAATCTCTACCTTTATCAAATAAAGAAAAAAGATAAAAATATTTTCATGAAAAATATAACTTTATACCCAGAAATAAATAATTATACATCCATTGATAAATTATTTACATAGCCATAGACCAATATATCTGTTTAATATCCTCCAATAAATACTTTCTTATATATCCGTAGGTAAATACATCCTCACAGCGTACCTCTGTTCGCAGATGAAGTTGTATTTATGAGAACATCTGTCATCCTTCCACACCAGGTCGTTATCCGAGTTCATATGGAAAGCCACACAGTTAGCGCTGCTGTTTCCGTCAGGTTGTCCCTGACCCCAGTACGTTGTCGACCCTATTGACACACCAGTCTCAACCCATCGCCAATTATTCTCTATAATAAAGTCGCTCCCACCTGTCCAGAAGTGCGCATTGTGCCAGGCTGGACGCGAGGAAACAATCGATCATCGAAATGTGATTAGATAGCAGTCAGTAGTAATATAAATAACAAATAGATCCTATATTAATACGTAATGATAATGGGCAACTCGCAAATAGAGGAACGCTCCATAGTTTTATATATATGCTATATAATTACAATTGCTTTATATTATGTTTGTGAACTCTCCAGGAAGCAGATAAAAAAGAAAAGAGAATAAAGAGAGATACAGAAGACGAATGACGTGTTTCACATTCCTTCCACAAAAGCCCCAACGCATTAAACCCATGACAATAGTTAGGTTCTAGTAATGTATATTGAACTTATATCATTTTTGTCATTTCTTTTTATCTTTTAATGAACTTGGGACTAAATACATGAGTGAACTAGAGTAGAGGACAGGAAATGTTTTAATCACAAACAATGTAACAACAGGTTATTGACAAAAACAAAAAAACATCCCGAAGTTCCACTGGCAATTACTAAATTGACGAAATGACCAAAATCTTTACTTAGTTCGGCTTTCTGAATCGACCAGCTAAATAGATTAATATGCGTTCTATTATTTATTATCTCTAACGGTTACTGTTCGTGTTTGACTATTACCGGTTATAAATATTATCATTGCACCTGTTTTATAACACTTGCTGGTTTGATAGTTGAGTTTGCGTTACCAAGACATCGCTCAATTAAACTGTTTCCAAATAAACATTTGTTGTAATTTGCTCACATGACTATAAGTCCTTCTAGGGTTGTGCGCGAAGTTTAGCTAACAATAGGTTTAGTTTTTGAGGGAAGTTTAATTGGCCTTTTGTAGCCTTCAAATACAATGTACACAGTAAAGGAGGTTCAAATGATACGTATCTAATCTACAGATACAGAACTGTCACAGGTTTACCGTCTTGGAGAATAGCCGAGACAAGAAAGGTTGAGATTTAAATCGTGACGAGTGAGGTCGATATTTAAATCGATCCGCGAGAGATCGAAATTTATATCGTGACGAGTGAGGTCGATATTTAAATCGAGACGAGAGAGGTCGATATTTATATCGTGACGAGAGAGGTCGATATTTAAGTCGAGACGAGAGAGGTCGATATTTAAGTCGAGACGAGATAGATCGAGATTTATATCGTGACGAGAGAGATCGAATATCGTGACGAGAGAGATCGAGATTTAAATCGTGACAAGTGAGGTCGATATTTATATCGTGACAAGAGACAAGAGAGGTCGATATTTAAGTCGGGACGAGAGAGATCGAGATGTATATCGTGACGAGAGAGGTCGATATTTAAGTCGAGACGAGAGAGATCGAGATTTTTAACGTGACGAGTGAGGTCGATATTTAAGTCGAGACGAGAGAGATCGATATTTATATCGTGACGAGAGAGATCGAGATTTATATCGTGACGAGAGAAGTCGATCTTTAAGTCAAGACAGGGAGAGATCGAGATTTATAACGTGACGAGAGAGGTCGATATTTGTACCGTGACGAGAGAGATCGGGATTTAGAGGTCGATATTTAAGTCAAGACGAGAGAGGTCGATATTTAAGTCGAGACGAGAGAGGTCGATATTCAAGTCGAGACGAACAAGCCTGTAATCGGGACATAATGTACGGCCTTTTTTAACTAACAGGCTCAGTTGTAAAACTCGAAACTGGCGTCGTACTTAAGAGTATCGATCCGTCAATGAATAAGCTACAATCTATATTGAAATCACAAATAGCATCAGAAGTTTATACTTGACAGTAAATCACAAATAAAAGTCTTAAAAATAATTACGCACGTTTAAATTGATCAGCAAAGACTATCATGCCGATTACCAATTGGAAAAAACTATGGCAAGCCAACTTAACATTTATTCAAGGAGCAATGTCGATCCTGTATTTCATCGAATTATATAAATGATCTTATATAGCATATAAGATATCTAATATATTATATAAGATATCTTATCTATTATATAAGATATCTTATATCGTATATAATATATCTCATATAGTATATGAGATATCTTATAAATAGTATATGAGATATCTTATATAATATATAAGATATCTTATATACTATATGAGATATCTTATATAGAAATTAAATGAGATGCTATAAAAGATATCTTATATGATATATAAGATATCTTATATCGTATATAAGATATCTCATTCAATTTTCTATATAAGATATCTTATATAATATAAAAGATATCTCATATAGCTATATAAGATATCTTATATAATTAAAGTCTCGTTACTAAATAAGATATCTTATATAGGAACGAGATTTTAACAAAATGTCGAAAATGAAGTCTCCCCGTCCGGAATATCTCGAGGATCTACGTAGGGACAGTAGGCTTGTTGTAACAACACGTGTTCCTGTCGCCGCCATTATGTCTGAGCCCACTTCAAGAGTGCGGGAAATGGCAGCCTCTGCTTTGGCCGCTATAAGAGAGACAAGGCGAGCTAGGCCTAGGGAAAATA